TGAGCAGAGGGGTTAGGAGGTGGACAGAGGTGTGGCATGAGTCTTCAGTCCAGGAATCGAGAATGGAGACAGCTACATCTGGTTCTCTGCTGCCATCTTCTGTCTTTTCAGCTTGTTGGATCAGATCCCAGAAATGTTTGCAGACACAAGAGAGACAGAGACAGTATTTGCCCCGGTTATCCAGGCTGGAATGGAAGCTCTGAAGGTAACTCAGGAGTCCCAGGCAACCTTCTCTCTTGCTTTCCTCTGGAAGACAGCCTTAGTGACTGATAACTGTCTAGCAAGTTAGCCCTTTTCACACAGTTCGTGCCTAATATAAAGAAAAAGATGAGTGTATAATGGATGAATAAAGGGAGGAATGGATGAGTAATTTTATCTTTTTTCCTAGGCTGCTGAGTGTGCAGGAAAGCTGTTTCTGTTCCACACTTCCTTGCCCATTGCAGAGGCCCCAGGGAAGCTAAAGAATAGAGATGACAGGAAGTTGATCAACACAGACAAGGAGAAGGTGTGTGGCTTGAGAGGGAGAGAGACCTCCCATTACAGAGGAAGGTGGTAATGTTCCAATGTCAACTCTTATAACATCAGCCAGGTGGACTGGGATTACATTCTGCCCTCTCACGTGTCCCATCTGTTACTGCCAACCCGCTCACAAAATTTTGGTGGACTAGAATTTTTCTTTTTCATTTTTGCTTTTTTTGAGATTTGATCTAGCTATGTAGTCTAGGCTGGTCTGGTCAGCTAGACTGTGTAGCCTAGCTGACCTCATACTTGTAGTGATCATGTCTCTGCTTCCTGTGTGATGGGATTATAGGTGTGCCTGAACATACCTGCACGTTTTCCTTCCCTTCCTTTCTCCTTTTCCTTCCAACTTTCTTCTACTGCTGGAATGACAAGGTGATGGGTCTAAAGTCGTGAAAGTGTGAGTTTTTCATTTTACATATGACATTTCTTCTGTTCCCCTCCAGACTCTGTTCCAGCCTCAGACAGGTACCTATCAGACTCTGGCCAAAGACTGTGTGACTCAAGGCTGCTGTGTGGACCTCTTCCTCTTCCCTAACCAATATGTAGATGTGGCCACACTCTCTGTTGTTCCCCAGCTCACTGGAGGCTCTGTCTACAAATATGCCTGCTTTCAGGTATAGAATTCTGGGTGTGGGAATATCTGCTTATATGTGGAGTGGCTCTTTAGCTACTGACTTAGTGGTGCGTGAGGTTGAGCCCAGAGTATAGTGGTTAGGTGCCTGGGTCTTCGGGTCAGTCCTGGGTTGATATTGAATCCCCCTCACTAACTGGCGTAGGATAATCACTTAATTACTCATCTTTTGTCCTTTCGTCTTCAAAGTAGAGTTTACTAATTAGGATTTGTCTACAGAATTAAACAATCACATATGAAATACTCTGTGTTACCTGATATGTCACGAATCCATAAAAGCTTCCTTGTCCTAATCATCCTGATTTTCACTGTGACTATGGTGAAGCAGGCTTGTAGAGTGGAAGGGATGCAGGGAGACTGACTACGGGGTGAGCTGTGTGGTCAGTGGTATGTCTCTGGGCCTGGGCTGCAGGTGGAGAATGACCAGGAACGGTTCTTGAGTGACCTGCGTCGGGACGTACAGAAGGTGGTGGGCTTTGACGCTGTGATGCGGGTTCGGACAAGTACCGGTAAGTTCTGGGTAAGGCTAAAGCCGCTTGAGGCACATGTCCTACATTTAACCCTGACCTGTCCCCGTGGCTTCAGGTATCCGTGCTGTAGATTTCTTTGGAGCTTTCTACATGAGCAATACAACAGATGTGGAGTTGGCTGGCCTGGATGAGGACAAGACAGTGACTGTAGAATTCAAGCATGATGACCGGCTCAGTGAAGAGAGTGGAGCCCTGCTGCAGGTGGCAGGCGGGAGACAGGGCGGGGGTGAGAAAGTGCTGGAGGCATCCATGGGAAGATGATAAGGGTGGGTGTGAGTTCCCCCTTTCTCCCTTCCCCTAGTGTGCCCTGCTTTATACCAGCTGTGCAGGGCAGCGTCGGCTTCGCATCCACAACCTGGCCCTAAACTGCTGCACCCAGTTGGCTGATCTGTATCGAAACTGTGAAACAGACACGCTCATCAACTACATGGCCAAGTTTGGTGAGGGTAGAAACAGGGCGGGGTGGGATGAGGATGAAGGGAAGGTCCAGGATGGCCAGCAGCTCGGCGCTCCTGGTTAGGTGTGATGGTGGCCAGGTGCATGGGACAGGAAGTTGACCAGGACTGCCCTTTCTCCTTCCCCTGAAGCATACCGGGGTGTTGTGAATAGCCCTGTGAAGACTGTACGCGACGCTCTGATCACCCAGTGTGCCCAGATCCTGGCCTGCTATAGAAAGAACTGTGCCAGCCCTTCCTCTGCAGGACAGGTGGGGCAGGGATGTTAGTCAGGGGATTTTTTTTTTTTCAGCAAAATTTTGCAGATTTGAGGGATTTCCCGTGATCATTGACTTTATTTCCATAAACCCCTCAGTTGATCCTTCCCGAGTGTATGAAGCTGCTCCCAGTTTACCTGAACTGTGTCTTGAAGAGTGATGTTCTGCAGCCTGGCGCTGAGGTCACTACTGATGACCGGGCCTATGTTCGACAGCTGGTTTCCTCCATGGATGTGGCTGAGACCAATGTCTTCTTCTACCCTCGGCTCCTCCCACTGGTGCGATTGAGGATTGGAGTGTGAGACTTTGTACTGAGGGCAGGGCCTCTAAGAAGGAGGGGATGGAATTACTTTATTGATGACACCGAGGAATTTTTTACGTACATTTCACATTACTATCTAGAGACTTAGCTTTCTGAGTTTATTTGTGTAAAGGAGTGTCTTACAGTTCTTGGTAACTCTTTTCCCTTTTCGTTTAGACAAAATCTCCCATCGACAGTACCACTGAACCACCAGCAGTTCGAGCGTCTGAAGAGCGTTTAAGCAGTGGCGATATATATTTGCTGGAAAATGGGCTCAACCTCTTTGTCTGGGTGGGAGCAAGTGTCCAACAAGGTGTTGTCCAGAGCCTTTTCAACGTCTCCTCTTTCAGCCAGATCACCAGTGGCTTGGTGAGAACGGGTGCCAAGGGTAATATGAGTATAGGAAAACACCTTGGTGATTTGAAGTGGGTCAGTGCAGTCATTGTGCTGGTCCCTTTACATATCTGAGGACACTGCGGCAAGGGGAGGTGCTGTCCAGTGTCTTCAGGCTTCCTCCTGTCACATGGTGCCGAAATCTATTGCTCTCTTGATGGATTTTTTTTGTTTTGTTTTGTTTTTGTTTTTCGAGACAGGGTTTCTCTGTAGCTTTGGAGCCTGTCCTGGAACTAGCTCTTGTAGACCAGGCTGGTCTCGAACTCCCAGAGATCCGCCTGTCTCTGCCTCTCCCAAGTGCTATGATTTCTCTTGATGGATTTAAAAGTACTTTTTATCATAGTAATTAGTGAATTTTTGTTCCAGAGTGTTCTGCCAGTTCTGGATAATCCACTGTCCAAGAAGGTTCGAAGCCTCATTGATATCTTACGGGCACAGAGAATGCGGTACATGAAGGTAACACAGATGTTGTGTTTGGTGGTCATGCTGGATATTGAACCCTAGGCCTTCTGTAGCAAGCACTCTCATTAAGCTACAGCCTCAGCATAGCAACACTGATCTGATTCCTAGACTTTTTTTTACCCTGTCAAGTCAGCAAGAAGGAGCATGGGGAGGGAGAGTCTAAGGACTTCCTTGCCATTGGCCTTTCCTCACAACCTGCCTTCTGGCCGTAGCTTATCGTGGTGAAACAGGAAGACAAGCTGGAGATGCTGTTCAAACACTTCCTCGTGGAAGACAAGAGCCTAAGCGGAGGGGCATCCTATGTGGACTTTCTCTGTCATATGCATAAGGAGATTCGGCAGCTACTGAGCTAAAGCAAGTGGGTAAATGGTATAGGGTCCCAGGCCAGCTTCCAGAAAGTACCCCAGGATGGCAGAGAAAACTGGGACAGTTTCATATCTTATGAGTCATATAAGCTGACCTCAGTCTCTTTAGGGGGGGAGGGCAAGATAAAAGGAGACACCTTTCTGGGCTCAAATATCCTACCGCTCTGTCATGTCCTGCTGATGGAAGGTGCCCCAGACCCCTTACTCAACCCTCTTTCTCCTGCTAATCCAGTTGTAATGAATGTAGTTTATCAGTTCACTGTATATGATCCGGTGTTGGGGGTTTGGAGGCAGCAAGGCCCTGGCAATACTGTGTCTCTTTGGACTAGCCTCCAAGAGGAAAGGGGCAGGCAGGAAGGAGTGGGAATCCCAGGGTTATTACAGGAGGCGGCAAATTCAGCTCCGTGTCATCAACAACTTCCTATATTAGGGATAAAATATACAGGTGCACAAGAGCTGGGGTATAGACTGTAGGTGGTGGAGAGTAGTAGTTGGTCCTTCGGGGGCCTGGTGGTCAGTAGCAAGGTCGTAGTTACTGAGGATGAATGACTAGTTGTCTATTTCCATTGTGGGCGTTCTCTCTCCTATGATTGGTAAGCACTTCATGGACAGAAGCACATAGCTAGAGATGAGTGAGCCTGGGACTGAATTGCAAAGCATATTAACACCTAGAGGAGGTAGCAGCCTCCTTTCCAGCTGGAGAAGCCCTAATACTGGATGGTTCTGTAGAGAGCCTGATGGTCAACTTGCAATACCTCACAGAGCCAGCCCACATCCCACTCAGATCCCACCAGAAACACAGCTTAAGCCGGGCGTTGCTGGGGAGAGGCAGAGATGGCTGGATCCCTGTCTTCCTGTGCCAGGACATAACCAGGCTTGATACTGACTGAGTGGCTGACAATTATCTTCCAACTCCAATTGGCTGGGGCAGGACAAGGGCTATGATTGATGGTGGTCAGGCTTGCCTGCTCCGAGCCTGGGATGCCCCTGCTCTGGACCTTTCATTTCTTTTCATTGGTTTATTTTTCAATGCATCTTTAATTTGTAAAGAAATAAAATAAGATGTAACAGTACTCTTTATTACTCATGACCTCTTCCAGCCCGCCTGCGGGTGCGGAGCCGCGCATGCGCTGTGTGTCTCTGTGGCGTAGGACCCGGTCAGCTCTCCACTCGCCGCAGGGCGGGGTTTCGTGCTGTCCAAGTGGATCCGCTGTGGACATGGCTGCTCACTGCACCGAGACGATGCTGACCGCCCTGGGGCTGCTCAGTGTCTGTGCGGCCAGCAGCTCCGGGTCCGGGATTTCGGGAAAGGCGGGTGGGGAGGCAGAATGGGCGGAGCCCTGGGACGGCGCGGTTTTCCGGCCGCCAGCTGCGCTAGGCGCAGTGGGGGTGGCGCGCGGGCCGGAGTCCCCGCCGCGGGGGACCAAGGAGACTGCCAACCTACCGGTGCTGCTGTGGTGGAGCCCAGGCCTCTTTCCACACTTCCCGGGCGACTCGGAGCGCATCGAATGTGCGCACGGCGCGTGCGTGGCATCCCGGGACCGACGGTCGCACGCCGACCCGCGGACGCGCGCACTGCTTTTCTACGGCACCGACTTCCGCGCAGCCGACGCACCTCTTCCGCGCCTGAGGCACCAGAGTTGGGCGCTACTGCACGAAGAGTCGCCGCTCAACAACTTCCTGCTGAGCCACGGCCCTGGGATCCGCCTCTTCAACCTCACGGCCACCTTCAGCCGCCACTCGGACTACCCACTGCCGCTGCAATGGCTGCCCGGGATCCCCTATTTGCTCCGGCCTGCGCCTCCGCTCAGGGAACGCACCGAGTGGCGTCGTCACGGGTACGCGCCGCTGCTTTACTTGCAGTCCCACTGCGATGTGCCCTCGGACCGGGACCGCTACGTACGCGAGCTCATGCGCTACATCCCGGTGGGTGAGAAAGCTGCGTGGCGGGGAGGGGGTGGACCGGGCGAACGCTGCACCCTGCTGACCGCCGTGCTCTGCCTCGCTTAGGTGGATTCCTATGGCAAGTGCCTTCAGAACCGCGAGCTGCCCACCGTGCGGTTACAGGACACAGCCACTGCCACCACCGAGGATCCAGAACTCTTGGCCTTCTTGTCCCGCTATAAGTTCCATTTGGCCCTGGAAAATGCCATTTGCAATGACTACATGACAGAGAAACTGTGGCGCCCCATGCATCTGGGTGCTGTGCCTGTGTATCGTGGCTCACCCTCTGTGAGGGATTGGATGCCCAATAACCACTCCATCATCCTAATTGATGACTTTGAGTCCCCTCAAAAGCTGGCAGAGTTTATTGACTTTCTGGACAAGAATGATGAAGAGTATTTGAAATACCTGGCGTACAAGCAACCAGGGGGTATCACCAACCAGTTTCTCCTGGATAGCCTGGAGCACAGGAAGTGGGGAGTGAATGATCCTTTGTTGCCTAACTACCTCAATGGCTTTGAGTGTTTTGTCTGTGACCATGAACTGGCTCGGCTGGAAAATGAGAAAGCCCGTGCAGCCTCTCCTGGGGAGGTTCCTGTCCCCGAGCCTCACATTGCTGAGCCCTCACACATGAACTGTCCAATGCCTACCCCTGGCTTTGGCAAAGTCGAAGAGATTCCTGAGAATGACAGGTAGGGTTACTGGAACGCCCTGCCGCTGTCACATCAAACTGCTTGCTTTCTTAGGGTGGAGGGAACAAAAAGACGATACAGGCGGCTCACTTTGCTATTATAAGATGTCAGGAGTAGGTGGGGAGCTGAGTGTGGTGGATACACCTGTAATCTCAGTGCTGTGTGTGGAGGTGACAGAGAGAGAACCTTAGGCCAGGCTACTAAGGATCATCACCTCAGCTGAGTACCTTTGATGCCGAGGTGGGGAGTACAAAGAGAATTTTGGCTGTGCTGGAGATTAAATCCAGGTCCTCCTGCTTGCTAGGAGAGTAACCTCACCCAGTCACACCTCAGCCCAGTAAGAGCATTTTGGAAGGAGCCCCCCCCCCCAACCCCAGTTATCAGTCCAACATATACTAGAGTCTCACTGTGTATCGTGGGCTGACCTCTTTCTTGTGATGATCTTCCTGTCTTGGCCTCCCACGTGCTGAGATTAGAGGAGTAGACACTAAAGCACTTCGACTTTTTTATGTGTGATGAAGCCAGGGCCTTGGATATGCGAAGCAAGCACACTACCATTGAGCTGCACCCCAGCTCCTTTGATTTGGACCATATCCTGATTTGTTCACTCTAGACAGAATTGAAGGAATGCTTTCAATAGGTGTATGATTAACATTGGCCATCAGTGTGGGGTAGAGGGAAGTGAGCAGGAAGCAGAATAGACCTGTGTTGGGAAAATGTTGAAACCACCTGCAGCAAGCCACAGTTGGTTTGGAGAGGGGTCCCAAGAGTCGTCGCTCACAGAGAGTGACTTCACCAGTGGTTGGCAGCAGAGGGCTGCTTCCTATGCTTGCTGGCACAGAGAATCTTTCACTCATAGTCTTATCAGTTTATGCTGAACACATTATGATTTACTAGAAGAAGAAAAAAAAAACATTAGGGAAATAGCCAGGGATGGTAGTGTTTACTTGGAATTCTAATGCCAAAGAGACAGAGGCAGGAGGATCAGGAATTCAAAGCCATAGTTGGTTATGTGCAGTGAGTCTGAGGCAATAGTGAGCTGAGACCTGGCAGTGAGGTGAAGACCATCTGAAGGCCCTGGCTGCTCCCTGGCTTGCCTCTAGAGTACTTCTTACACGCTCTGAATCCTACTGCGACTTCTCTACTCCCTTTACATTTGGGAGCTGGAGGCAAGTGAGCAATGTCAGCTTCTTGGGTGAACTATGATGTCCATGTTTATGACCTACTTCCTATCTCTTGAGCTAGTGTTACTTTTACTCCATATCTCCCTTCCCTCACAGAAGAGCCTTGTCCTATCCAGAGCCTTAAATTTATTTGTTTTCGTTTTGTTTTGAGACAGGGCTTCTCTGTGTAGACTTGCTGTCCTGGAACTCTCTTTGTAGACTAGGCCGGCCTCAAATTCAGATATCCCCATCTCTGCCTCCTAAATGCTAGGATTAAAAGTGTGTGTCGGGCTGGAGAGATGGCTCAATGGATAAGAGCACTGACTGCTCTTCCAGAGGTTCTGAGTTCAATTCCCAGCAACCACATGATGGCTCACAACCATCCATAATGAGATCTGGTGCCCTCTTCTGGCCTGCAGGCATACATGTAGACAGAACACTGTATACTAAATAAATAAATAAACTTAAAAAAAAAAGACCCTAAGTCTGGGTTTTGATTTAAAAATAAATAAATAAATAAAAATAAAAGTGTGTGTCACCATTGCCCAGCCCTGCTTATGATTTTTTTGCTATTGCTGTGGTTCCCTAATTCACTGCTCTCCTGTTTTGTCTTTTCAGCTGGAAGGAAATGTGGCTACAAGATTATTGGCAAGGTCTCTATCAGGGGGAAGCTCTCACTGCTATGATCCACAACAATGAAACACAGCAGAGGAAATTTTGGGATTATGTACATCAGATCTTCATGAAAAGGAATAAAAATCTCTAACTGCCCTTGCAAGAGCCTTTAGCGTGGAAGACGTCTGGAGACTTTTACCGTGGCACCAAAGGCCCATCCACTGTAACCTTTAGTGAATATCGTCTACCTTGATGTCTTCACTGATTCTCCTGCCCTGTACTGGGGATGGAACTTGAGGTTTTGAGAATGCTAGGCAGGTACCCTAGCCCTCTCCACTGTGCCTGAATGGTATGGAGCTAGTATCTCAGTCTATCGTAGTAGAGCAGCTGAAGCACCCATTTGACTCCAGTATGCTTCTCACCTCTAGCCATTTCATCATTTCAAATATGGACAGGATGGGTCAGGCTGTGATCTAAAACGTCCGTCATTTAGTACCTTTCTCAAGAGTGTCTGTTCCTCATCTTGCTTTTCTTATCAGCTGTTTCACTGGTGGAGAGGCAAAACGGGTTGTGGTCTAAGCTAGCCGCCAGTTCCTGGACCTCGGCCTCTAAGAAGCTGGGCTGTAGGTGTGGAACACTATGCCCAGCTCTTCACGTTACTTTAAGATACTTGGACAGTCTTTAAAATCAAACACCATAATTTTAAGTGGCCCTTTCTTTCCGACTTTAGACTATTTCCACAAACACAGGGAAGATCTACAAACATCTCCATCATTCTTATTGCTTGGATTTCTTGTTCGGGTTATATTTGGAAGTCCTCTCGTGAACAGATTAAGTAGCTAACCTGTTGTAGGGCTGGAAAGATCTATTCAATTCATTACTCACATTTTTTCAGACAGTTTTATGTTGCTGAGTTTCTGGGTTTTTTGTGGTTCTAGGAGAGCAAGCAGTCTGCTGACTGAGTAGCTGCAACCCTAGTACTGAGATTTTTTTTTTCTTTTATGAAGCCGGCCCAATTCAAAGAGACTGAAGAAGCCAAGGGAGGGGGCTGGAGAGATGGCTCAGAGGGTAAGAGCATTGATTGCTCTTCCAAAGGCCCTGAGTTCAATTCCCAGCAACCACATGGTGGCTCACAACCATCTGTAATGAGGTCTGGTGCCCTCTTCTGGCCTGCAGGCATACATGCAGAAAGAATATTGTATACATAATAAATAAATAAATGAATGAATAAATAAGGCAAGGGATTTAAGCCACCATAAGTGGCTAGCTAAATAAAAACTTAAGCTTCCAGCTTGGAGAGATGGCTCCACTGTTAAGAGCACTGGCTGCTCTTCCAGAGGGCCCAGGTGTGATTCCCAGCACCCACATAGCAGCTCATAACTGTCTAACTCCAGTTCCAGAGGGTTCAATCCCTCTTTTAGCCTCTGTGGGCACCAGGCGCAAGTATGCTACACAGACATACATGCAGGCAAAAAAAACACCCATATATATCAGATGCAGACCAACTGTCTACTGCTGTAGCTTACCCAGGAGATGAGTATTTCCTGGGGTTATAACAAAGAATGCCTTGGACCTTAGAGCTATGCTTATTGTGTTACTGGTTTATCAGTACATGGTTGTAAACTGCAGGTTCGTGTGAATCCATATCTATACAGATAGAGACATATGTATGTTAGACCCTTTAGCAGCCAGGCTTCATGGTTAACATTGTGATATCTGGCTGGGTGGTGGTGGTGCACACCTTTAATCCCAGTATTCGGGAGGCAGAGGCAGGTGGATCTCTGTGAGTTCGAGGTCAGCCTAGTCTACAAGAGCTAGTTCCAGGACAGGCTCCAAAAACTACAGAGAAACCCTGTCTCAAAAAACAAACAAAAACAAAAAACCCAAACCATTGTGATATCTAAGGATGTGACCAAGAAAAGTTTAAACAAAGGTTGGAATTAGATTTATAAAGTTTTTTCTTCTTCTTCTTCTTTTGTGTGTGTGTGGGGGGGGGGGGAGATGGACCCCAAGGCTCTGTGCATGCTAAGCGTGTGCTCTGGCTCTGAGTTATACTCCCAGACCTTTATTTAGTTAAAAATGCCTTCATAGTAGCATGAAAATTTTTAACCTGTTTGGTCTCTTACAGAGAACAAGAGGAAAAGATGTTTTAAAAAGTATTACAGATAGGTGAGTTCATGAGTGCTAGTAAGCCAGGGCTACAATATACAATAACAAGACGTGTGTGTGTGTGTGTGTGTAGATGGGCATGGTTGCACACACTTTAAGTTTCAGCATTCTAGTACTTTGAGAGGCAGAAGCAAGTGGATCTCTGTGAGTTTGAGACTATCCTGGTCTAGTTAGTGTTTCAGGCTAGCCAGAGCTATATAATGAGATCTTGTCAGAGAGAGAAAGAGAGAGGAGAGAGGAAAAAAGAGAGAGAGGATAGATAGATAGATAGATAGATAGATAGATAGATAGATAGATAGATAGATAGATAGATAGAGATTTCTATAGCAAAGTAACTTAGACAAGTGCAATCAAGATTAGAACTCAGAGTCGGGTCTTGAAAGACAACAAAAGAAGTGCTAAAATACTCGTGCGAGCTGCGGGTCCTGTACTTTGTATAACCATCACTTACCTTTCTTGTTGCTCATATGCTATCTGAGTTCTAATCTTTTTTTTTTTGGGGGGGGGGGAGGTTTCGAGACAGGGTTTCTCTGTAGCTTTGGAGCCTGTTCTGGAACTAGCTCTGCAGACCAGGCTGGTCTCGAACTCACAGAGATCCGCCTGCCTCTGCCTCCGAGTGCTGGGATTAAAGGCGTGCGCCACCATCGCCCTGCCTTTAGCACTTTTTTTGTTGTCTTTCAAGACAGGGTTTCTCTAGCTTTGCAGCCTGTCCTGGAACCCACTCTGTAGACCAGGCTGGCCTCGAGCTCACTGAGATCCACCTGCCTCTGCCTCCCAAGTGCTAGGATTAAAGGTGTGCACCACCACTGTCTGGGTTCTTTAGCACTTTATGCACCAGGTGAGCCTGTTGTTCATAAATGGTTGTTGCTGGACAATCAAGCTTGCTTTTTGCTAAGTGCTGCCCAGACTGTCCTTTATCCTATCATGTTACAGTCACAAGACCAGGGTAAATCAGGTGCTACATTTCCCAAAGGGAAGAACTGTGAGTGGCCACGACATACTTACCAATGACAAAGCTTTACTTTCCATATGGAGAAAGCAAGCAAAATGATTTTTTTTTCCCTTTTGTGGGCTCAGCTATGTGTACAGCACCAAGTATTTGCTGCAGGTCATGGGTACTAGTGGTAGAAGTTTCTGATAGGAGTCTTTTATTTACCAGAATATGGGGTAGAACAGAAGGCTGATGGCAAGTGTTACTATTTTTTATTATCATCTCAAGATTCATCTTATATAATAAATTGATTTTTACATAGTGTCTTCTATTTGATTACTTTTTTAAAATTACACTTATTACGTGTATGTGTGTGGTAGCTTGTTCTACCTGTACATGTGTATGTCAGAAAATAATTTGCAAGAATTCAATTTTCTTTCCACCATGTGGTCCCAGGGACTGAACGAATATCATCAGGCTTAGTGGCAGCACCTTTATTCACCCAGTGAGCTATTTTGCTGTCCTCTATTTGCTTAACGTTTGAGGATGGGGGATGATTAAATTGCAGACTTGTAAAAAAAAATTTATTCGTTTAACTTTTTTTTTTTTTGAATCAGGGTCATATGTGTCCCTGCCTTGCCTGATAACTGGCTATGTAATGTAGCCTGGCTTCAGACCCAAGTGTGCTTGGATTACAGGCATATGCCACACATTTGGCATGACAGCTAGTTTAAACACTGGGGATTCAGCAATAAACAAGATACACAAAGTCTGCTCCTCTCATTTTAAATGTATTTTTAAAAAAAGATATTCAAAAATATTCTTTACGTGTGTGTGTGTGTCTGTGTGTTGCCTATGAAGGCCAGAAGAGAACATCCCTGAGGGAGCTGGAGGTACAGACGGTTGTAAGCCCTGCGAAGTGGATGCTGGGAACCAAACTCTTAAGTCTCTATAAGAGCCAGAAGCACTCTTAACCATGGAGCTACCCTTTCAAAGCAGATGTTGGGGTAGATAAGGTCACAAAGATTCAGACTGCCGTGGGTGCTGGTAGAGCGGCAGGAGAGGGAAAACTCTGGAATAAAAGTCATTCGTGTCGGTCATCCAGGAAGCATTCCGAACATCCGTGGTAAACAATTTTAATATGAATGTACCCACGCAGTACATCGTGCCCTAAAGTAGAAATATGAACTACATGATTGCTGGATTCCACTTCCAGTAGCAGAAATGTCTTGGGAGTTTATTTTAGGAGTCTGGCACATCTCTGGATTTGGTTTTTGTAAAGAGCTAAAAGTCAACAACAACTGGAGATCCAGTTCTATAAATGGGAATGATATAAGTAAATATAATAATGTTAATATTTTATATATAATGTTATTCATAAATATAACCTTCCACCTTACGGCGTGGTCATTCTAAACGAATAAACAGCACCTGCACAGCAGTTATAATTAGTAAAACAAACGAGCCGAATTCTCCTTGAGGTTTTAGAATGGCTCTAAGAGTTTTAAAAATCAGCCACGCTTACAGGTTTGTAAAAAACAATCTTTTCCAACCCAACAACCTTAACGCCAGGCCCAGGGGATCCGACGCCTTCCCTTTGGCCTGCACCGACACAGCACTCAGCAGGTGGCAGCCTCCCACACGGAGCCCAAGCGTCCTGCCTGCTCCCCGAGTCCGCAAAGGCATGGTCCGGGACGGCGCACAACAGCATCCTAGCGTGGGTCGGACAGGGTTGGAGCCTGGGGCTGCTTTGAGGCCAAGACAAGGAAAGCGCCCGCACGTCTCTTCGTGGGCCGCACGCCAAGTGCGTAAGGGTCAAGAGGGGTCACGCACTGCGCGGAGCCTACTGGGAACGCCTTGCAAAATGGCGACTCCCAGTTTGCGCGGCCGCTTGGCGCGGTTTGCGAACCCAGGGAAACCTGTCCTGAAACCCAACAAGCCTCTTATCCTAGCTAACTCTGTTGGGAACAGACGCCGAGAGAAGGGCGGTGAGCACTGGGAGCGGGATTGGCTGGGTAGGCGTGCGGGAGAGATATAAGGTCAGCCGGTGACTGAAGGTCCTCCAGTTCTTCCCTTCCAGAGGCGACCTGTATCACGGAGATGTCGATGATGATGGCTTGCTGGAAACAGAATGAATTCCGCGACGAGGCGTGCAGAAAAGAGATCCAGGACTTCTTCGATTGTTCTTCCAAAGCTCAGGTGACAGCTAGCCCCTAGGGTGCCTTCTTGGGAAGAGAAAGGGAAATCAAATGAATGGCTCCCGCTGCCTTGAGCTAAGTTATGGAAAGAGATTCTCATTCATCTCACTCTCGCCAAAGTGAGAAAAGCTAAGTTTTGACGATAGTTGACCCTTTTTTGTTTGTTTTGTTTCGAGATGGGGTTTCTCTGTAGGTTTTCAGCCTGTCCTGGAACTAGCTCTGTAGACCAGGCTGGCCTCGAACTCACAGAGATCCGCCTGGCTCTGCCTCACGAATGCTGGGATTAAAGGGACGATGGCTGATCTTAAACGAACTTGATAACCAAAATAATAGTTTCAGGTGATACAAGCATTTGTAGGTCCTAAATCCCCTTTTTGTTTCTTTGTTCATTCCGGGGTGTGGGGGTGTGTGGGGTGGGTGTAGGGGGATGGGTGTGTGGGGTGTGGGGATGTGTGTGTGTAAGTAAGTGCATGCATCTTCAAATATGCAGGGGCATATGTGTGGAGGTCCTAAATCCCCCTTTTTTTCTTTCTTCATTCCGGGGTGTGGATGTAAGTTCATGCGTGTTCGAATATGCAGGGGCATATGTATGGACAGCAGTGTTGTGTGGTGGCCAGAGTTCACTGCCTGGAATTTTCCTCCATTTCTCTTCTACTTTATTCTTTGAGGCAGGGTCTCTTGGGGTTTGGAGTATTATAAAAATTTATGGGTGTAGGGCATAGTAAACTGAAGAACTGTTATTTTTCTTTCTGTTGTGTTTTCAGGAAGCCAGGAAGATGAGGTCAATCCATGAGACTCTGGAGCAGTCTGAGAGTTTACCTCCCCACAAAATGACCAAGTTATTACAGAGATTTCCCAACAAATCTCACCTCAGCTGAAAATGGAGAGACATTTTAAATGAACTATTATTTCTGAATGCTATCCTTAGGGTTTTTGAAGAATAAAATGAGTCAAAGCACTTAATTTTGCTCTTGTGAATGAACCATGGCCATTTTTTCACATGAGATACTCCCTCCTCATAGCCAACCCCCATCCCGAAGATGAACCTCTTGGCCTTTCCCAGCATTAGACAAGCACTGAACCACAGAGCTAACCCTTTCTTGAGCCCTGCACTCTAGACTTTGGAAGTGCTTTGTTTCCTGATATGCTCTTCTTTCTCCTCCTCCTCCTCCTCCTCCTCCTCCTCCTCCTCCTCCTCCTCC